CTGGCTACGGTATAGTGTTGCTACTGGCTACGGTATAGTGTTGCTACTGGCTACGGTATAGTGTTGCTACTGGCTACGGTATAGTGTTGCTACTGGCTACGGTATAGTGTTGCTGCTGGCTACGGTATAGTGTTCCTACTGGCTATGGTATAGTGTTGCTACTGGCTACGATATATTCACATATGAAATATAGGCTGCTAAAATTAGAACCAAAAATACATGGTCCTTAAAAAAAAAAAAAACTCAGCATGCAGCCGATTGATGCAATTATTCTGATTCGATGAATTTTAATCAAAATGATTCGGAGAAAATCCATTCTGTTATTCTGGCTGCATGGAGTCGTCCTATCACAGCTGAGTGGGCCGGTAACGAACCCATTGTCTGTCTATTGATTAAACACTTTAATAATCAAGATTACCCGAGATTCCGGCGCTGATCCATTTTGTTGATGATGTTTCATAATGTGGGTAATATTGTGTGTGTGTGTGTGTGTGGGATGGTGGGAGGCGGTGAATGTGCGTCGATGTATCAAAAGTCTTCATGTTGTTGACGGATGTCAGAATCGGCGAATCGGGACCAGAAAAGTAGGTGAAAAAAAAAAACGTTTCTTATTTTGTGAGAGCCAGAGTCTTCGTAATAAACATCAGTCCTAATCTATTGAAATTGTTTCTTGCGATCCGTCCAATTTTTAAATTTTTGTTACGTGTTTAACGTTTTGAAACATTTTGGCATTTCCTCTTAACATCTTCATCGAATTTCTTAAGACTGTTAAGCATGCTTCATTGGTAACGCTTTCCGTGTTAGATTTCAACAGCTTCCTTACCAGTGGGCTACAAGACAAAGCACGTTCCGTCTGTCTTATTCTCGATGTAATTCTTCTTGTTGTTTTGCAGCCGAAGGCGTTAAGCCGAAACGTTTATTGGTTTATCTTGCCTTTCGTTTTTTTTAAAAAGCAAAATGCTAATTGTGGGACCGTCTATATAAATACGCCAACTCCGGGAAATTGGGGGGGGGGGGTGTTCTAAAAAAAGTGTGACAGTTGTGACCCCTGGAGGGGGTTGGGGGTGGGGAGGGGGTAAAGATCATATGTAACGTGACGCATTAAAAAATCATACATTAAAAACAGAGGTCCCCAAACTTTTTTGTCTCTTAGACCACTTGCTACGTTTTTCGGTTTCGGGTAGACCCCCTGCTTACCTGATATTGATTTTTTTGCAAATTGATTGACTTCAAAAGTATTTTTGACAGCCTGAGCATAGTGCTACTCACTTTGAAAGATTTAAATTTATAACGGTAGTGAAGTGTAGTGTGTAAAACTTTTTTTAAAAAAACATGTTAAGTTTTATACATTTATTAATTAAATTCAACTTAAAACGGAGCAAATTAAAATGTACTTTCTGTTGAATAAAATAACTAAGCAAAAAAAAAAATAAATGCTTTAAGTTTGAGGGATGAACCTGATGATTTAATAATAAATTTTCCACTTTTGGCATCAATTTAGTTAGGTTTAATCTCGAATCTCCTCGGTTAGGAGATTGTAACTGCGCTGAAATCCCTTTCCACTAGGAGCTGCGGGAAACTGCTAGTTTATAATAATTCTTTAACAGTTTCATATATCAGAAAATATATCTAATATCTTAAATTTTAATATGATTCTTCATCACGTTTCATGAACATTTATGTTTTTAAAATTTTTTACTTCATAGCATGGGCGCCCGCAGAAAACTTTCTAAGGGGGGAGAGGGGTAAAAAAATCGATTAACTTCCGGGGGGGGGGGGAAAAATTTTTTTAGTATGTTTTAATATAGTTTTAATTTACTGTAGCGTATTTGTATGGTGAACGAACGGACAGGACATCAGCTTAGTTACTTTCTCTTTATTTTCTCTTTACTTTAATAAATTTGTTGTCTATTTTTGTCTAAAATTTTTTTATCCAATCAATCCAGGGGGGGGGGGGCAAGTGCCCCACCTTTCCCCTACCTGCGGGCGCCCATGCTTCATAGGTACTTTTATAATTTATGAAGGAAGATATGTCTTTTTATTATAAGGTAATATTATGTAAGAAAATAGGTACTATCTGTGTATGTGGATTTTTCCATTCATGCAATGCCGAAATAGAAGTCATGACCTGCTTACATGAGATCCGCTAACGTTGACCACCATTTTCATTTCATGGACTCCCAATTTTTTTTCCCACTAACATGGACCCCTTGCAAGTTGTCGTCGACCCCTGGGGGTCGATATAGACCGCTTTAGGAATCTCTGAAATAAAACCTGAAGTTGACAGTGATTTATATATATATATATATATAAATTCATTTTAGTGAAACAGAATAGTAA